AAGTTGAAAGCCTTCACACAAGTTGGTGATAGACCACAATCCAAGTACAACACTCGGAAACTGAAGGATGAAACTACAAACGAAATCTTCACGTCAGTCAGCCATCGAGACGAAATGGGAGATATGGAGCAATATCCCTGAAGAAACCTGTATGGAAGAACACTGAAACTCTTTGAAAACCATATGGAAAGAAACCTGCACAGCCGTATTAGGAAGGAAGAAGAAAGAAGATCAGGAATGGATCTCGACGGACACACGAAAGCTGATAGAGCAGGGAGAGGAAGATGGTGAAGCATGAGATGAACCAGTGCGAAGATGAACGACGAGAAGAGGAACTGAGTACAATGTATAAAACACTACACTGGACAAAGAAGTGAAGAAGAGTGCACGCAAAGACAAAATACACTTCCACGACACCCTGGCAAGTGAAGCAGAACAGGCTGCAGGTAGGAGAGACAGAGACCTAACAACATTGTATCAAATAACCAGGTTACTATCTGGGGCGGGAGAGATCAACGCAGATGAAATCAATAAAAGATGATGACGGAAATTTAATTACGAAAGAAGAGAAACAAAGAAAACGATGGACCGATTACTTCAAAAATCTGCTGAATCGACCACCACCTGCACTTCGTCCAGAAATACCTCCAACAACCCAGGCACAGAACTACAAGTGAACACAAATCCTCCAGCAAAAGTCGTAGTCCTGAACGCCATAAAGCTACTGAAACGCGGGAAAGCAGCAGGACCAGTGGAATCCCGCCAGAAGCACTGAAAACGGACGCAGAGACAACAGCGGAGATGCTCACACCACTATTGCAGAAGGTGTGGAAGGAAGGGAAGGTACCTGGCGATTGGAAGGAGGGTTACCTTGTCAAACTCTCAAAGAAGGGAGACCTAAGCCTTTGCAAGAACTGGCACGAAATCACTCTCCTATCCACCCCAACCAATATATTAGGCCGCATCATCCTGGAGAGGCTTAACGATGCACTGGATTCAAAACTACGACCGAAATAGGCAGGCAGGCTTCAGGAAGTACAAATCATATGCTGACCAAATTGCAACAACACGCTTCGCATCATCATAGAACAGAGTATAGAATGGCAGTCAACTCAACTCTACCCCAACTTCATCGACTTTGAAAAGGCCCTCCACCGAGGCGTCGACCAACAAGTAATTTGGAAACTGCTTCAATAATACGGAATACCACACACCTTTATCAGCCTCATTCAACAACTATATGAAGACGCCACATACCAGCCAAGTAATTCACAATGGGGAGCTCAGTGATGCCTCTGAAGTGAAGTGAAGACAGGAGTGAAACAAGGTTGCCTACTATCCCCCATGATATTCCTGATTGTGGTCGACTAGACTGGACCATGCAGCAAACAGTGGGGAGCTGTGAGAAGAGGTGGATTCGCTGGCTGGACTGCGGAAAAGAACCTAGGAGATCTGGATTTCGCCAACGATGACTTGTGTCTGATGTCACACGAACTTGAAGATCTACAGGCGAAAACTAAAAAGTTTTTCGAAGAGGCGGCGAATATGGGACTTTAAGTGAATATGGAGAGGACAGAGGTGATGAAGATACTACACCACCACCAACAACAAACTGCAATCACCATGAACGGGAGAAACTTAAAGCAAGTAGCCTCCTTCACCTATCTAGGCAGCACTTTTTCAACTACAGGCAGCACAGACGAGGATGTCAAAGGCAGGATCGGAAAGACAGCAAGACAGGCGTTCATTAGCCTGAAACCAGTGTGGAGAACTTCTGCACTCAGCTTGCGGAACAAGATGTGGATTTCCATCACCAACGTCAAGTCAGTGCTTCTGTATGGTTCAGAGACTTGGCGCGTCACTAAAGGGATTTGCAATAATCTACAGACATTCATCAACAACTGCCACTTACGCTGGCTCGTTACTGAAGATCAGATGACCAGAAAGAATAAGCAACAAGGAGCTGTGGGAACGAACCAAGCAAGAACCTATCACCCAACAGATATGCAGTGGAAGGAAGTGGAGATGGATTGGGCATGCACTGAGAAGGCCGACTGGGGACATCACGCGTCAGGCCGGGCACTTGAGTGGAATCCCCATGGGAAGCAACGGGTTGGGTGTCCGAGATGAGGGTGACATGGAGGAGATCATATGAGGGAGAAATGAGAGCTTGTGGACTGTTGTGGAGCCAGGTTGGAAAGATTTCAGAGAACAGAGTTCACTGGAGACATGCTACTGAAGTTGTATGTCCCATTAGGAACCCAAAGGACTAATAATAAAAATATAATATTTCGACCACGCATTCTCTGCGAGGAATTTGGTGAAATAGATTACCTCACCTGAATACATCGATAGAATCTTTAAACTTACAAAGCTTGTTTCCAAGCGAATTTTCGGATTTTCAATACCGCTTTAGTTCCAAACTTATTGAAGGTTCTTCTTAACGCTTCCGAGTTGTTTTTCTTGCATGACAACCCAGTAGCCACTCCGAATTCTGTCACCACCCTTTCAGTTTTACTACTCTTATTATTCCCATTAATAGTAAGTTTATTACTAACCCATATGTTACTACTACTGCTGTCATTCTTTCTTCGATTTCTCATGAATTTATTTATAAATTTACGTGGGTAATTATTGATACTCAAGGAATTCTTGGTGCGTCTAATTTCCTATCGCAGATTTTCTGTCCTATTAGTATTGTAAACGTATCATCTACATATCGAAACCATACATTTGCAGTAGGACTAAATGTTTGCAGGACCATCTATTCCCAACCATCCATAAATATGTGTGAAATATATGCGAAGATAGGGGTATTAGTGATCCCAGTTTGTTCATGCATTTTATCTTGAAACCTAAAAACTTTAGAAGTCAAGCGCAGTCGTACTCCCAGAATGATTTTCTTTTATCCGAACCTCGGTTCAATGCATAAGCTCATTTCTGTCTCCAGAGCTATCTCTGTCTGAATAATCATGCAAACTTTAGTCACGTCAGACTTAGCTATTTTGTTCACTTTTATCTGCTCCTACATCATGCGATCTATGCTTTAAGTCATAAGAACCAGTGAGTCGAAATTGTGAAAGGCTTTGATTGGGCCTAGGACCATTGTTAAGTATTTAGTCAACTCATCAGTTGGGATAACCTGGCTTACGAATCTCAACCGTGCCACCTATCTGAGATTTGTGGAAACGTCTACTACTCTTATCACACAGGAGAGAGGGTTAGAAATCCATAAACCGTCTCAAAGTTGTGGGATTACCTGATATAACAATAGACAATGTTATGTCTAAAACCTTATTTAGCAACTAGTACTTACTGTTTGACTGTGTGACAATTCTATTTCAGTAATCAGACTGAAATGTGATTAGAATTTGCCACAACACTCAAGTTTTCATCCCATATTAACAGTAACTCTTGCTGCACAATATTTTTTTATTCTAACGGCCACGCTACTATCGTTTTTCAGAACCAACTTTTGTAAGTTACCATTCATTTACAACGACGGTATACATATTTCTCCCTTCATCCAAGTGAATAGTAAACTTTGATACTACAGACATTTCATAAAAATATATCTGGCTCTGTATCTCCTCCTTCAACGTATCTTTTGTACATACCTGTTGCTTGCAGCTGACTAGGAGGATTATCTGTGCCTGTTTATACTGAATAAACCGGAATGTGTTATATTTTACAAACTGTCATAATATGAAGACTACAAAAGGGCAATAAGCGTTTCATCAATAAACCAGAATACATATATCCTATGAAGATGACATCTACTTCCCTAACTTCTCTGCCAAAACGTCGATGAATTGCAACAAGCTAACACTACAGGAACTGCACACGATAGCTATGAATACCATCAAAAATACATTAGCTTTTTAAATAGTTTAATCCGAAGACATTAAGAGCTGAATGTTTTCGTCATTATGACCTAAATAACCAACAGGATGTTTAAGTGATTCGTAAGTTCAGTAAATGCAAGACTTTGGCCCATGAGCTCAATGTTAAACTGCTGCCCACGGAACTTGAAGGTACTTGGTTCAATCCCTCGCAAGGTTATGGGTGTTTACTGTTGAAGAGTGCCCTAGTAGGACGAACTAGCTCTCCAGTTCCCCTAGGTATAACCACATCTCGTGAAACAGCTCCTCATCTTCTGGTGACAGTTCCTTTTTATGTTGACACTTTTAAGTAATTTTCACCCTTTGCCTTCATATGATGTCTCGAATCGAGTTTAACGTTCTTGATCGTCATGTAATATTACCGATGATCATTAATATTCAATTCTAGCTAGATCACTACTTCACACAGAAATCTGTCTTCAACTGAGACTCTAATCTACTTGGCTAATAGGTCATTTTAATTGAAGGGATTAAGATGCTGAAGATTTTAAAACAACCACTTCAAATAATTTAGAACCAGTCTAGTACAGCACAGTTATCTCAGATAATTCCACGTAATATCAGTCAGTTACACCTTATTTCTTATTTTGCACAATGTGGATTGTACCAGAAAACTTTGTCAATGGGATATCGACTAACCAGCATGTCACTCAGTCAAGGAAACTTGAGATTAAGGATGTGGCTGGAACTGATAGCTAAAAATTTGAATCGGAAACTGGTGATCCAGGTCTTTGTTTCAACCTCAATTCTTATCTTCTTTAATGTAAGACAAGTCTGCAATGACGTGGCTTTATCAAACAGTTCGATCTTCAAACTAAAATATTCCATGTTTTTTTTATAATTGGCGACATTTGGATTTATCTAGTAGAAAATACTTCGTTGTTTCTGGAAGAAAATTGTCTTGCCTCACCTAAATAAAATATGATGATGCTGATGATAACAGTTGTGTTCTAGAAAATAATTTATGACTTAAATTTTTAAGGCATATTTCTTTAACCATTACATATGATTGGTCATAAAGTTAACTAATCAAAGCGTTTGTTCCAAGGTCATTGATTGGCCAGAAAACACAAAATACTCTCCCAATTGGATAATGAGAAACAAATGATGATTTATTCGTTTAATGTGTATACTGTCATTAATAGCAAACAGGAAGTAGACGAATAATATCAGCGTTATTATTACTAGTAACACCTACTAGTAGTAATAAAAGCAATTATAGAAAGGAATCTCAGCTTACACACTATTGCTTACATACATATACACGAACAAGTGATATATACCCAGGCACAAAAGCATAGAAACATTTTGGAAACTGTAACAGTAACAAAAACGATTACCAATGCCCAACAGGTGGCTGTCACACTTACAGATAAATAAACCTTGGAATTCTATTTCATTTTTTTACTACAGTTTGTAAGTGAATCAAAGTGAGAATAGTCGTATTGAGTGACCGACGTGAGATCTCGTATGAAGAATACTTTTGGATAGATATATAAACTTTTTTAGACAAACAAAATTAGTTTCAGTCACACTCTACTTCTCTTGCTGAACATATACGCACACGAACACACACAAACACCTTTACTCTGGAAATTTTAATCATATCCGAAGCAGTACACGTGTACACCTGCAGACGCCAACATCTTTCAGTTACCCTGGCGATGAATCTACTCTACCATGGGTCTTTTTAAACGTTTGATTAATTACTCGAGATTATGAATTATAACTGGAATCACAGTAAAAGTGAGTTCATTCTCTTTAGTATTAGTTGATGAATTGATGAATACTCGTACTGAAATGATTAAAACACCAAAAGTAGTCAGCGTTTTATCTTACTGAGATACATATATTACTGAATATTCTTTGTTCACTTATAGCAATCAATCTGACTAGAAAGTATCATTTATTCTGTAAAGATGATTCTAAGCTAATGATTTTGATTGGTAGAATACGTTACAATGTAATAGTGCTGTTGTGAAATATTTGATTGATTTCAACTCGGTATACATCATGCGCTAATATCATTTGAAGAAATATTGGAAACCTAGAAGTACTGGATAACTGCTTCGTCGTAGTGTGGTACTGGAGTGATTAACTAAACTGGATTTAAAATATGAAAATTCAAGCCGTATACTTTGTCACGATAGAAACACTTCTTCTCACCTCCTCTCTGAGCTACACGCTCCAGAAAATTACATGGTGTTTCCTGAAGTAATAAGGAACAGTTAACAGACGCTAGACATATCATTTGCTTAGGTTTATCTCTGCATTATGTACATGAAAACCCGTTAATGCTTGATGTAAACTTTGGTTCAAGTTGAAAAGGTGGCATTTCATTGTCAAGCTAGATATCTTTACCAAAACTGAATACATTTCCTACCTGGTTGTTAAAAAAAAATGTGATTTAAACTTTATCATCATACTGTCACTTAGAGCATTTTTCTCATGTAAAACAGAACAATAATTCTTACTAAGTGATGATTGAAGATGAAATGAAAATCCGAGCTGCTGAAGAATTAGAACCAGTGGTCTTCAAGTTCTCAGCCTGCTGCTCTATCAACTGACCTACGAAATCTCTGTTTGGAATCTTACTTCAGCTCAGATTTTCATTACACTTTCAATTATTACTCAGTATGAATAAAAGTTCGGTAAACCACCACTATCTCAGATGATCAAAGGGGTAAAAAATAATAATTCAGTTGATCAGTCATGAACAGATTACTACACTAAACTATGATACACACCTCTTCTGCATATATATATATATATATATATATATATATATATATATATATGCATGCTTGACAGAGCTTTTGATACCGCATGCTTAACTGTTCTAATCCTGGTAGGTGAGATAGAATAAAAAATGAACTCAGCAGCCTTGTCAACATTCGCGCAGTTGGCAATGAGCCATATCGACTTTGTAAAGTCAAATGATACTACCCGGTTGAAAGTTATTTCTCTAAACCATTACTCTTTCCTAAATTGATCACCTAAGCTTGTAAACACTAAGTCATTTATTTAAAACATACTACTCAGTAAATAGGCCATTTTAAAGATTATTATTGCGTAAATCATTGCATCAAGGTGATCGACTAACTTCATCCTGTCCGAATTCCTAAACCAATAAGTCATATTTTTATTCTTTCAAAAAATTTTAAACCTTACTTATCACTACTTCACTGCAGGGTTTTCAGACTATCTGATTTTTTATGAAGAAGATTAGCGAATACGTAAACTTTTTTTGAAGTCATTAGTGATGGTCAAAATCGTATTCCTAATCGCTGATTATGTAATCCTGATTTCATTACCTGTTTTTGAATAATCTAACTAATCGTGAACAAATAACACACAAATTGTAGTGAGCACGTGCATGGGTGTGTGTATGTATGTGGATGTGGGTGTGTGCCCGTGCCTTTTTGATGTTATATTATCTGCCAAATATTCACCAGTTCTATAGATCCCCTTGGTAATGGCCAGGATAACCAGTCACGTTTCTACAACTGGGTGGTTTTTCCAGAATATAGAGAAAGGTAGTTGAGTATTTCCCTACTTTCTAAAGTCCTAGAGTCCTTGACTAAAATTTAAGCAGCCTGATTTCATTTCTTTAATAGGTTACTAGAATTCTGAATTTGTCAAGAACCTTGTTGGTAGATAGATTTCTTACAGAGAAGTTAACCAATCCACTGCTTAGTTTTATAGAATTAAATGAAGTCTACTGATTAATGTAATTAGAATATCGTGATTTAATTTGACTTACTGCTAAATACTTGAGTACATTCAGTTCAAAACACAGTTTCATGCACTTCCATACTAATCAACTGTAAGCGTTAACAACCCTAAGATAACTTACTTTAGCTTCAAGATACAAGTCTGAATAACTAGATGTTAAATTTGGAAGTGTCCCCCCCCCAAAAAAAAATAATATCAGAGATAAGTCTTATTGACTTAATTCTGTTGTTACATTAGGTGTATCGGAAACGGACAAGTATCCTCCAGTGTTTCTCTCCTAGTGCACAAATATTAATTTAAAGATTCTGATTTCCTTACCCTTTGACTTAGTAAACGGTGTACGGTTAATTACTGTTACTTATCCTAAAGCGTGCGTTTTCAGCCAACGAAATACCTTCCTCCACATACTTTAAATTCAGTGGACAAATTGAAAACAGGTACACAACGTATCCGTAAAATATATCTAAAACAAGAAATCCATAGAATAGGCAAGAGGTTGTAAAGCATTTGCAGTTATATGAACTCTTGGTAGACAACTTTAGTAAGCCAAAATCAGCTACTTTTAAAACAGCAAAAGAATACGTAAATTAGGAATTTTAACGAATTAATGGAGGGAACGTATGCAGCCGAGAATACTGAAAAAAGGCAGTATCACATCAGGGATAAAAGGAATGGGTGGTTAGTGTCTCAGCTGGAGGTTTACGCTAAACAGAAGTAAATTTGCCCGAAAAGTAGTCTTACTTCAGTGTAACAGTTAGTAAATATCTACTATATGATACTTATTTCACTGTAATCCATCTAATCAACCAACTACAATGGAATTGAGTTCTGTCATAGTGCCCAAGTCGCACTCTTATATTAACAAAACACTCAGTTATCACCAAGTTGTTGTATCAACTGAGTAAAGGATACTGGTCGCAACTCATTCAAGGTATATTATAAGGACTTTAGTACATACCCTATGGTGTCTTGATTAGGAATTTCTGGTGAAGAGGGCAAGATTTCTATAAAACTTTTCTGTTATGAAGTGGGAAATCAGTTTGAAAACTTTTGACAAACCATATGCTTCATGCTGACAATTTAGCCAAGTGACAAGACATCAAGCACGGTTTCTGCTGGAAACCACTCATCACTCAGCAACGAAGAGTGTTATTTCTCCCATAAAGGAATCATGAGACAGCGAAATATACTTTAATACAAAATACAAGTGATTGAAAGCTACCTATTCTGATTAACATATTTCTGCAGACAGATTAGATCTATCTCAACAAGGGATAGCCAACTGAGTTAGTTTGAAAAACTCAGCCACTCGGTGATCTGACTCTTTGCACTTGAACCATTGTTGAACAACCTAAAAAGAATGAAATGATCATGCAAAGTTCAGATGGTTCTGATGTGACCTGAGAAATCTGCAGATCACTGAAAGTGATTTCTAATACTGTTCATTAGCCGTATATTTTGCAACTTTATGAAGTTTTTGTGTCTGACATCATAATCAACTAGTTGGATTTCAGCGGAAATCATGTCGATACCATATTCTAGTAGTCGGGAGATTCGTAGCTATGCAAAGTGTCTATGTGTAGCATGCAATTTGCAAACAGCTTGTAAAATTGTCATCCACTGCAAAACAGCAGCGTACAACATGAGTGTTCCGTCTTCTAACAAGAATCTCAAATAATACTATTAGTATTGGTGAGAACAGCAGTTATTTTGTATTACCACTAGCAGTAGTAGTAGTAGTAGTAGTAGTAGTAGTGATAGTGGTAGTGGTAGTAGTAGTAGTAGTACCAGCAGTGGGAGCCCATAAACCTACGAAAGAATATGATCTTAAAACTGCTTGACTTGGTATCGTAGACTCTATCTGAAACTAATTTATACTACATTTTAACTTGTTGTTTCCGACTGGAACTAAGCTTACTGTCATCTTAGGGTGGTGAGTCGGTTTTAGACGAAACACCGTATTCCTGGTGTATAGCTCAGCATATTCGTATAACACTTTATACACGTTGCCATTAGCATACGCTTGAACACAGAATCCTCATTCTGTCGAATAAACAACGATAATTCGATTTCAATTCAAAGCAGTCAGTTTTAAATAGATAAACTACTACCATCTGTCAATTTAATAGTCACCAAATTGTTTACAGTGAACAGCTGTAGTGATAATAAACGGGAATAAATTTTTAATTTTAATCAATATTACATTGATCTGATGTCTTTCTTCTACATAGTAGTTCTAAACAAGGCATGGCGATGTTATTGTTTGTATTACCCTGTTGTTGAGTAGACCTAATTGATCGGTCTTTATTGGCATATGGGCTCCTGCGCGGACGCTCTGCTATTGTCAGTGTTTGAATTATATATTAATGATGGATAATGGCTAGCAGTGATATCCAGAAGGTATGTTTCGCTCCATTAGAGACTCGTCAGCTGGATGTACCTGCCTCTCAGTAGGTGATTTTGTTCCTACCGGGAGTCGAACACACGACCGATGGCATCAAAAACCAGACAGTTATCCACTATATCACTGAGTCACGACACCCACAGGCTATAACATCAAAACTGTCCTATGTCCCTAGAGAAACAAGGAGCTCTTGTATCCCAGTTGCATACAAGATAACTCTTTGAGTTTAAGTTGATCGGTCCTAAGTTCGACTCCTAGTAAAAGTAGCATCACTCACTGGAAGGCAGGTACATCCAGCTGATTAGTCCAAAGCAGGACGAAACGCGCGTTCCAGATTCCACTGCCAGCCACTATCTATCGATCAAGTAGAGTAATATAATTCTATGTTGTATCGGAATGCATAGTACATGCATACTACTCAACAATCTTTTATAGTTTCGTGTGTTGAAGACTGAGCCATGTATCCCATAAAAAATAAATAATTTTATCTGGTTTTTATGGAAATCTTTAAACGCCTAGTCTAATGAACGATAACTACACTAATGCCGATAAAAATCTAACCACAGTTTGTCGACATTGTTCTCTCAGTTGTTGTCCCATGTGATGA